GGAAGCTGCTGCTGCACCAATCTTTCGGGCGCGAAACCCTAAACCAAAGCTTCCCCGACGACACACCACCTCCCTTCACTACACACTTCACTTCCACTTCTCTTCGCTCCGATCGTCGGCCATTCCAGTCACATATGGCAGGCGGAGGAAGCAGCTCGAGCAGGCGAAATACCAACAATCGACCCGCCGCCAACCCCCCACCTCCTCTACCAGCAGGCGCCGTTGGCTACAACCTCTACGGCAGTCTCGTCGACGCCGCAGGCAGAACCATCTCATTTCGCGCCCACAACAACGACGAGGACGACGACGACGAGGAAGACCAAGAGGACGAGGAAGACGAGGATAACGAGGAAGACGAGGAAGACGAGGAAGACTCCACCGGCGGGGTCAGTCTGAACAGCCAAAAGAAGAACTTCACGAGCTACGAAGACGTCACAGGCCAAGACCTTCCGCGCGAGGTTCATTGGGCCTACGGCGACCAGCCCTTAAACCCCACCACCGACCTCGTTCAGAAGCAGTTTCGCAAAGAGCTAATCAGCCGCCTGCAATACCTCAAGATTCGCCGGCTAATCTGCCGGATTGAACGCGACGAGAGGCCAGACAAGCAGGCGCAGCGAGAGTTGGACATTGTGTTTGGCGCCGTCACCGACGAAGCAAAGCTCCAACATCCGCACTTGGTCGCCTACGCTCTGCCAACCTCGGAGATCAAGCGCAGAGAAACCGCCCATCAAGACTCGGACTTTACCTTTCCGACCTTTGAGGACAATCGCGTCGGCAGCAGCGTGCCACTCCTCCTCGACCAGCTAGTCGACACCCATTTTAGCTTGTTTGGCGGTACATTCAAGATTCCCCTCGAGGAGACGTGCCCGGTGCCTGACATTTTCGCGGCCGCTACCTCCGAGTGGACCGACTTGCTGCTCCGCGACGAGCGCCGCGCCAGCCGGCAGACTACGAAAGAGTATTTGAAGATTCGAATCTCCTGCGTGCAGTATACGGAGCTGCGCGACGCCATCTTGCGATACTACAACCCTAACAGCAACTTGGACCTGTCAGGTCTGGCGAAAGAGCAGGCGGAAAAGGTCTTCAAGGCGAGTTTCGGCAAGGGCTTCCGGAAGAACAGCGCCGACCAGCGCCTGAGCATCGACACGATTTGGCGCTTCGAGCCTCCCAAGGCATCGCAAGAGGAATACCGCTGGCCGACCTTCCAGCCAGGTCTTCCGGGCTTGAACCTTCCCCACCCGCTCGCCTCCGTCCTCACCTATACGTTGTTTGTGGGAGACATTCTCGCGGGCACCAAGACCCTTGACGACACGCAATTCGACCTGCGTTCGCCTGATTGCCCCGACGATAAGCTCCGGAAGAAGCTCAACCAGAAAGCCTCGACCAAGTCTCAGTGGAAGCCACGCCTGCCCACACCCACCACCGGCGGTCCGGCCGAGGACAAGTACATCCTCTACGCTCACGTCGACAAAGATTGGGCGGAAGCTACCACGGCGAAAATGACCAACAGGAAGAAATCCGGAGCCGCCGCCGCCGCCGCCGGCAGTGCAGGCCAGCCGGCGACCATGACATCTTCTCAGCGCCGCCAGATCCAAACCAACGTATCGAACATCAAAGCTCCCAAAACCCCTTCCAAAAAGGCCAGCGCAGCGTCGCCGGCGTCGTCATCGTCGCGTCTCACCAGGGCGGCAGCTAAGACTCACGCCGGCGATGATGATGATGATGATGATGATGATGGCGAAGGAGGAGGAGGTCAAGTAGAAGATGATTCGCCAATTCCAGGCAGCAGCGGCAAGAAGAAGGAGGAGGCGACGGCGGCGGCGGAAAAGGAAGAGGATGGCGTTCCGCAGAACGTCGATATCTGGGGGCGAGTGGCGCCTGAAGTGGACGACCCAAAGCTGCCATGGCTCGCACAGAGCGTTCCACGAACTCCGAGCGCATACTCGAGCATGCCTGCCTGCAAGGACGCCGACGTCCCCAAGAAACGCAAATTTGGCACTCTGCCGAGCAGTACCAGCCCTCTCAACTACGGCGATGACTTGCCGGAGGAGGACGATGACAAGATCAACGAGCGCCTGGCCAAGTCGTCCGGGTTCCAGGCGAAGGATATCGCTCGATGGCGAGCAGAGGGGCTCGCGGTCTGCGAGAATGGGGTGATCCTGATGGAGCGCGCTTTCGACCAGAACCGCCGAGTGGTACAGCGGCGGATGATTGGTGAGATCAACCGCACGGGGCGTACGGTCGAGGGTTTCGCCTATGACCAGTGGTTTGACGAATATATCGGGCGGACCGCCGTGGGCCGGCGCTCCAACACCGCCCCGAAGACGTTCACGAATCCCGTGCAAGACAGGAACGCCGCGCAGCGAAAGAATGCCTTTTTCGTCCGCGGTCTTTCCTGGCCGCCGGTGGACTACATCGAAAACACGGCCGAATTCTGGCAGCTGGCCGCCGACTCGGTTCCAGACCTCGACCAGCACGTCGAGGACCTCGACCATGACGATCTGGCCGTCGTGACCAAGGCCTTTACCATGGACACCACGGACTTCATTTCCGCCACCGATATGCCAGACCCTGAGCCTGCAAAGTGGGCGGGCGAGCAAGTCTCGTTCAAGGCGTGGAAAATCCGCTACAAGAAGAAGTCCAAGGAGTCGTGGTCGGACGGCGTCAAACGCTTCGGCCCTGCCGTCATCCCCATCCATGCTAGACTGTCTGAGAGTAGCTTTTTGCCCGCCGACGACGACGACGACGACGAGGACGACGGCGGCGCCGTGGTGGTGAAGCAGGAGGAGCTGGAAGATGATGAAGAAGAGGGCGGAGGGGGAGGCGTGGAGATGATGCAAGTGGACGCGCGCGAGGCTGGAATCGATGATGATGATGATGATGATGACGACGACGATGAGAACTCCGGCCTCATCAGACCAAGCGCCCAAGATAACCCACCCACCAAGCGCGGCTCCATGGCGCCGCCAAAGACGATCCCTAGCCGCCGTAGCATCGCCGACAGTAGCAGCAGCAATGGCAGACCAGGCCCGGCGAACAAGAAGCCGAGGCTCTCGTCTCTGGAGCAGATGAGGGCTGCCTCGAGCGCGATGAGCAACAAGAAGGAAGCGCCAGCAGGCCAACCAGCACCATCCAAAACTGCTGTTGGAGGAGGTGGTGCTGCAGCAGCAGGAGCAGCAACTCCTTTGAACTTGGACGTATTCGAGCAGCTCGATGGCGTGCCGAGCGAGGCCACTCCGGCAATGCTCGAGGCTCGTGACATGCTGCAGAAGATGGGATTCCCGGTCAAAAACCTCGACATGGACGGCGCGATCGAGCAGCCACCGCTGGCAGAAGACCAGCTTGGCCTGCGACCTCCGCCATCATTGAAGAAGGACGACGGCCAGGTCTTCCACGGCTGCACGCCAGCAGAAGCCCAGATCGCCGCCAACATCAAATGGGCTGCAGACGCCGCGGTCGCGGTGGGCAACATCGCCACTCTGGAGGGGCTCAAGGCCTTTTTCCTGCAGCGGCTGGTCGACATGCGGGAGCGAGTCTGGGCATTGCTGCGGGCCAACACGCCCCAGACCTTCGCCCCGGTTGCCGAGGTCATCCCTGGTGGATTCGATGTCTTTAGGACTTGGTGCGTCAAAGTGGCCCATGGCTCCAATATCGACCACGCCGAAATCTCCGACAAAGCCCAGAATCTCTACGCGGCCACCGCCAAGCATAGCGCGCTGCTCCTGGAAAAATTCGAGCTCAAGCGCCAGATTGCCCGCCTCAACGAGCAGCTCGACAAGGTCGTTGCCGAGATTCCCAAAGCGGCCGAGTGGGTGCGCGATGCCAGCACGCAACAGCTCGTGGCCGGCAAGTTCATCGCTCCGGACGAGGAGACGTATTACCAGCCGCGCTACGTCTTCGACAGCGCGGAAACCTACGTGCCGGGATACCTTGGGAACAAGCTGCACAAGGCGTCCTTCCACAAGTCCGAGTTTCAGGAGGTCGTGGTAGGACTCACCGACATGGCCCACCGATTCACGCCGGTGATCGATCACCTCTTCGAGGGCAAGAAGACCCTCACTGGAGAGCAAATGTGGCAGGCCATCGAAAACCTCATGCAGCCCAAGGAGTGGGTGAAGTTCAATGAATTGCGAGGTCACCCCGCCAGCGCGACCGCCGTTCCTTTGATGGCGTGGGAAGTCGCTCGACCGGCCAAGATCTCCCCCGCCGACTTGATCAAACGGGCGCAAGACAAGACTCCGATGATTCAACTTCGCACCGATCAGGGCCTGGTTCCCCGCGGCCTGCAGGTGTCCTACGACGTTTGCCGCCAGCAAGGCTACGATGCGCTTGTACAACGCATGGTTACGCAGCTCATCGATGCCGGCGTGGACATGTCAACTCTCGTAGTCGATCCGCCTGAATGGCGCAAGGACCAGACTCGGGAGATGCAAGCAATCTGCCATCACCTGCGCGCCGAGGGCGTGGACATGTCGACTTGGCCCAAACCCCCTAGCGGCCGCCTGCAAAAGACCATTGCTGCCGCCTGCGTCGCCATGGGCATCCCGATCGCCAAACCCCGCCCCGCCACGCTCCAACAACCCCAGCCAGCAGCAGCCGCCGCCGGGCCAGCTACGCCGGTGAAAGCAGCCGGCGACACCACCACCAACACGGCGACACCACTGAGCGAAAAGGAGCACAAGAAGCGCCTGGCTAAAGCCATCCGCTTGCGCGAAGCCATCGCCGACGTCCCAGCATTGATGGTATGGGCGAAGAAGGACATCACGGCCGGCGGCTACCTCGACGAGTTGGACGACCTGGACGGGGCAGAGTTTCAGAGTTCCCACGACAGACTCCACGTATGGTTCGAGCAGCACAAAGACAACGTGCCCCAGGCCTACATCGACCGTGAGAACCAAGAGAAGCAGGCGAAGGACTAGTGACTGTCAGGCAGGCAAACGACTGCTGTTACCAGCCACAGAGAATTGATGATGCACTTCCAGGTGGATGATGAGATGATAGTTAGTTGCAGAGGCATCAGGCCAGCAGTGTGATAGACACCTGCTTGGCTGCCATATCTGGCAGGCATTCGACAGTCAGATAGCAAGCGAAATCATCATCATCATCACCTCAAAATCTCTCATATCACACACCCTCACACACACACACACACACACACACACACACACACACACACACACACACACACACACACAATTGTGTAGCGGCTGCTCCTTCTCCTCGACTCCATGCCGCGCTCTTTCCTTTCTTATTCCAGAGAAGGAGCGACGATATGCACCTTCCATCCCCTAATGAATGACTCTTTCCCTCTCTTCAAATCACTCTCCATCTCCATCCATTTCACACTCACAATCCCTTCTCAACACCATCAATCACCACCACCCTCCACACCGCCGACAACCCTCCACCGCCCGCCCCACGATTCCCCCC